GGTGCGATTCCGTGGTGGCCTTGGGGCGGAGGCATCAGCAGCCCAGCCCTGTTCGTTCCCCTGCGAGACCCGAGCGAGACAGGGGTGCTGGGACCTGCTGCCCCCACTCTGGGGCCGGTCGCGGGATCGCACCAGCTGGGCAGCCAGCCCAGACGCGACTGGCCAGGGGCTGGGCGCAGCGTGCGCTCTGCTGGGTCCCCGCAACAGGCCCGGGGGGTTCGGGCCCGGGCACCACAGCCGCAGCCGCCGAGCGCCATGGCCGCTTCCTCCGGCCACGGCAGTAGTAGCTGCAGCAGCGGCTGCTCCCGAGTCCCGCTGCCCAGGTGGGGAGAACAGCCGCCGCCTGGCCCCGCGGACTGCCTTCCTCTCCCTCCAGGTACCGCCCAACTGAGTCCTGCCTGTGCTCGGGGCCAGGCCGGACTCTCACTCACCCTGGCCCCGCGCTCCCCCTGCGTCTCTGGGGCCTCCCTCCAGCACTTGTGGAGGGAGGAGGGATGGTGTGCTTGGGGAAGAGGCGGGGATTTGTGGAGGGAGCCAATGGTGGAAGGAGAGGGTGGAGTCGGGGCGGGGGGGGGGCGAGCCCTTCCGGGATCCAGAGCCTTTGCTTGTTTGTCCAGTGTCCCAACCTAGCATTGTCGGGAGGCGGGACAAACAAGCAAATAGCAGGACAGTCCCGATAAAATCGGGACGTCTGGTCACCCTATGTCCAGCTCCCTAAACCCCCCGCTCCATGCAGGACTCCATTCCCCAGCAGCAGGAGCATGCTGCACTTCAGACAGGCTAAATACTGCAGCAAGGGATCTGGGGAATATAGTGGATCACACGCTAAATAGGAGTGAACTGTGTAACACTGCTGTAAAAAAACCAAACATCATTCTGGGATGTATTAGCAGGAGTGTTGTAAGCAAGACACGAGAAGTAATTCTTCTGCTCCACTCTGTGCTGATTAGGCCTCAACTGGAGTATTGTCTCCAGCTTTGGGTGCCACATTTCTGGAAAGATGGCAACAAATTGGAGGAAGTCCCAGAAAAGAGCAACAAAAATGATTAAAGGTCTAGAAAACATGACATATGAGGGAAGATTGAAAAAACTGGGTTTGTTTAGTCTAGAGAAGAGAAGACTGAGAGGGGACATGAGAACAGTTTTCAAGTACATAAAAGATTGTTACAAGGAGGAGGGAGAAAAATTGTTTTTCTTAACTTTGGAGGACAGGACAAGAAGCAATGGGCTTAAATTGCAGCAAGGGAGGTTTAGGTTGGACATTAGGAAAAACTTCCTGTCAGGGGTGGTTAAGCACTGGAATAAATTGCCTAGAGAGGTTGTGGAATCTTCATTGTTGGGGATTTTTAAGAACAGTTTATACAAACCCTGTCAGGGATGGTCTAGACCAGGGGTTCTAGGGGTCACAACCCTTCAGGGGAGCACAAGATTATTACATGGGGTGGTGGTC